TTACCCAACTAATTTTGATAAACAATCTGGTTCATTAAAGGTGATACACAGGGTTTTTTGGTAGGATTTTTGCATTGTAATTCCAGAAAATGTCCGTAATATATCTGGCGATAATAGTAGAATGATTGATAGTGTTTCACAGTATTACTTACCTTCCTGGTTGCTCAAATTCTACACTGTTCGCTCAATTTCAGTTTGTGAGAAAAGAAGAACTGACTAGTGTAGGAAATCATTGTACAATCTAAATCACTGTGAAATATATTTTCATTAACCAAAAATATCGTTTTGAAGCTGGTGGACCAAAACCGAAAATAAAAGTTCAGCCTTTTACTTTTGGTTTTGGTCCACCAGCTTCAAACAGCTCTAAAAACAATATATTTTTTTGTTATCGAAAATATTTTTCACAGCGATTTTACATGGTACAATGAATATCACAGCCAACCACAACACTGGCAGGTAAGTAACACTGTGAAACACTATTTTTGTTCAGTATAAGTTTAACATTCTTAAAAAGGTGCTAGACAGGATATCTTTTAAATGTTTGCATTGTATTTTCAGAAAATGTCCATAATATATATCTGTCGCTAATAGTGGAATGATAAACTCAACATGCAATAATACGTTACATTTCATATGAGGAAATCAATCAATTGAAATAAATTCATTAGGCCCTAATCTGCTCAAAAAAATAAAGGGAACACTAAAATAACACATCCTAGATCTGAATGAATGAAATAATCTTATTAAATACTTTTTTCTTTACATAGTTGAATGTGCTGACAACAAAATCACACACAAATTATCAATGGAAATCAAATTTCCATGGTCTGGATTTGGAGTCACCCTCAAAATTAAAGTGGAAAACCACACTACAGGCTGATCCAACTTTGATGTAATGTCCTTAAAACAAGTCAAAATGAGGCTCAGTAGTGTGTGTGGCCTCCACGTGCCTGTATGACCTCCCTACAACGCCTGGGCATGCTCCTGATGAGGTGGTGGATGGTCTCCTGAGGGATCTCCTCCCAGACCTGGACTAAAGCATCAGCCAACTCCTGGACAGTCTGTGGTGCAACGTGGCGTTGGTGGATGGAGCGAGACATGATGTCCCAGATGTGCTCAATTGGATTCAGGTCTGGGGAACGGGCGGGCCAGTCCATAGCATCAATGCCTTCCTCTTGCAGGAACTGCTGACACACTCCAGCCACATGAGGTCTAGCATTGTCTTGTATTAGGAGGAACCCAGGGCCAACCGCACCAGCATATGGTCTCTTGAGGACCAAGGGGTCTGAGGATCTCATCTCGGTACCTAATGGCAGTCAGGCTACCTCTGGTGAGTACATGGAAGGCTGTGCGGCCCCCCAAAGAAATGCCACCCCACACCATGACTGACCCACCGCCAAACCGGTCATGCTGTAGGATGTTGCAGGCAGCAGAACGTTCTCCACGGCGTCTCCAGACTCTGTCACGTCTGTCACATGTGCTCAGTGTGAACCTGCTTTCATCTGTGAAGAGCACAGGGCGCCAGTGGCGAATTTGCCAATCTTGGTGTTCTCTGGCAAATGCCAAACGTTCTGCACGTTGTTGGGCTGTAAGCACAACCCCCACCTGTGGACGTCGGGCCCTCATACCACCCTCATGGAGTCTGTTTCTGACCGTTTGAGCAGACACATGCACATTTGTGGCCTGCTGGAGGTCATTTTGCAGGGCTCTGGCAGTGCTCCTCCTGCTCCTCCTTGCACAAAGGCGGAGGTAGCAGTCCTGCTGCTGGGTTGTTGCCCTCCTACGGCCTCCTCCACGTCTCCTGATGTACTGGCCTGTCTCCTGGTAGCGCCTCCATGCTCTGGACACTACGCTGACAGACACAGCAAACCTTCTTGCCACAGCTCGCATTGATGTGCCATCCTGGATGAGCTGCACTACCTGAGCCACTTGTGTGGGTTGTAGACTCCGTCTCATGCTACCACTAGAGTGAAAGCACTGCCAGCATTCAAAAGTGACCAAAACATCAGCCAGGAAGCATAGGAACTGATAAGTGGTCTGTGGTCACCACCTGCAAAACCAGTCCTTTATTGGGGGTGTCTTGCTAATTGCCTATAATTTCCACCTGTTGTCTATTCCATTTGCACAACAGTATGTGAAATGTATTGTCAATCAGTGTTGCTTCCTAAGTGGAGAGTTTGATTTCACAGAAGTGTGATTGACTTGGAGTTACACTGTGTTGTTTAAGTGTTCCCTTTATTTTTTTGAGCAGTGTATTTCACATAACTGGGAATACAGATATGCATCTGTTGGTCACAGATTCCGTCAAGAAAATGGGCCTCAGGATCTCATCACTGTATTTTTGTGTGTTGAAATTGTGTTCGTTGTCTATTACTTATGCCTGCCCATACCATAACCCCACTCTGTTCACAACGCTGACATCAGCAAACCACTCGCCCACATGACGCCATACATGGGTCTGCGGTTGTAAGGCCGGTTGGATGTACTACCAAATTCTCTAAAACGACGTTGGAGGAGGCTTATGGTAGAGAAATTAACATTCAATTCTCTGGCAACAGCTCCGGTGGACATTCCTGTAGTCAGCATACCAATTCCACACCTGTGCTGAGGACAATAAAAGGCCACACAATTCCAATAAAAGTGTTGTGACAACTGCACATTTTAGGGTGGCCTTTTATTGTCCTCAGCACAGGGTGAACCTGTGAAATGATCATGCTGTTTTAATCAGCTTCTTGATATGCCACACCTGTCATGGGCTGGATTATCTTGGCAAAGGAGAAATGCACACTAACAGGATGTAAACAAATTTAAGCTTTTTGTGCATATGGAACATTTCTGGGATATTTTATTTCAGCTCATGAAACATGGGACCAACACTGCGTTTTATATTTTTGTTCAATGTAGATGTCTGTGTTTGGTTGTTGAGGCAATTACACCATGCCTATTTCAAGTTGATCTTTCCAAAACATTTCAGAATATTTAGCTCCTGCTTTGTAGTATACCCCTCTGGCCATGTTTAGAATGGAAACCAGCAGCTGACTGCTTATTGCTGTTTGTGGCACAGGACTTTGTTCAGTCTTAGGTTGTGTTCCTGGTTGGTCATAAAAGAATTGTTTTGCTGTCATTATTTGGTTGCCTATGGTAGACAGAATTAATGCCAGACAACCAATGTTGTCCATGGCAATCAATTTGACCCCTGTGTACTGGTATTTCTGTTTTTAGTTTTGAAAATCACATTGTTTTTAGTATTTTATAGAGCAATGATTTGAGTTGCACACTTTCTTCAAAGCATGCATGTGCCTGGACAGGGGCCAATGTCAATTCTCCCCCAGCCCCAGCTGTCTATTAATAAGCTTGCTTTCCTCTCAGCCATTCACAAATCTGAGGTGCTGGTTTAGTATAAGCCATGATGGCTGCTATGTAACCTGTAACCCTATTTCTCCCAGGCTTCCCCACAAGATGTGTATTCCCAGAAAATACTTTGTTTTTTTACTGAGGGGCAGCTGTACACAGTGGAAAATCAGTTTATCTTTTGAGTCATATGCCTATTGTGTGCGTTGAACATGTTTCACTGCTTGGTTCCTATGGTGAGTTGTTGACAGTGTTATGTTGCCTCTTAAAGGGGAAATAAGCAGTTGCTACATCAGTTTTTTAAAAACGTATAAATTAATTATGTGTACCCATTGATTCTTGAAGAATATAACTTAAATGCCTCATGGGATTAACCACATCACAACCCAACATATCTTATTTTACTCCAATGTTTGTAAGCAAAGTAAACGTAAACAAACACTATATAGCCTCAAAACATGGTTAAAACTATCATTTCGGGATCGTGATGGTCAGTCATGCATCTATAGCTCTGTCTATGAATTTGACAGTGGTTTCATTTCTCCAGCCCCATCCCTCTGTTTTTTACAGAAACAGTGGAGGGGAGTTTGCTTTGTTATTGTTTCTACTGCTGATTGCTGCTTTAAAGTTTGTGGTATTTTCCTATCGTTTGGTAAAGTTTTCATTAGTCCATTGTTAACAGTCCCAAAGGGTTTTGCATGTCAAGTTAAGATATTGGTCTGATGATGTGAAACGCATCATCATCATGATGATGTGACACTTTGCTTCTTGAAAATCCTATAACTTGACTGCTGACAATCACGTGCAAAACGTTTTGGGACCGTATCAACAGTGGATTAATGGGAAAAAAAATACCAATAGATCGTTTTTGTGTGGTATTTTTTAAGATGCAACACAAGGTGATTTGACCAAACCCAGTGTTCTGTTCTAGCAATGACGTTGCCAGTATGTTCGCGTGAGAAGAGGTTAGCTGAGTAGAGTTTGTCTTAATGCTTTAAAGTTTAAACAAAAAGTGCAGACACCTTCCGTTTTGGGCAGAGTTGTTGTGATGCTGACATGGCGACAAGGAAGTGGAGTCTTTTCCTACGATGATGGAAAAGCAATGGTTAACCGGCCCGAATGCTTTCCTAGAGCTTTAAAGTTTGTCTTATGACCTAGGCTAAATATTTATGTTTTCACCAGCTTAACACATTACTTATTTTAGAAAGGAATGTAAGCCAAAATTACCAACTTAAATTGCTACTTGTTTCAGTAGCACTTAACATAATACATCTCACTTAGTGACAAAAAAAATGGGGCAAAAGAGTTGTTTCCAGTACAGGGAGTAATGTGCTCTTTCTGTTCTTTGTTTCAGGTGTGCGTTGATCTGTTGAGGCCGAGGTGGTCGTTCTGCTGCATGTGTCCTGTGTCCAAAGTTCTCTCTTGTCACTGCTTCCTGTGAAGCCTGTAATGGGCCAGAACTCCCAAAGAGCACAAGCATTATTTTGTTTTTAACCTCTGGACGGACTCTACCCCAGTCAGGTACGTTTGTGAAGCTATTGGTTTGGCCACCTACTTTCCATTTGAATTAATCATCTCAACCCGCGCTGTGTACTTTGAGTCACTGAGTATTTTCCCATTTGTCTTATGACCATTTTCCTTCCTTGCAGAAGCATCATGTTTTGGAAGTTTGATCTACACACAACGTCTCACATTGACACCCTCCTGGAGAAGGAGGATGTGACTCTGACTGAGGTAATGGACGAGGAGGATGTTCTGCAGGAGTGCAAGGCCCAGAACCACAAGCTGGTGGACTTCCTGGTGCGGCCTCAGTGCATGGAAGACCTGGTCACCTACATCACACAGGAGCCAAGTGATGATGTGGAGGAGAAGATCAAGTACAAGTGAGAACAGTTTTGAGAACAATTCTGAATTTCTTGCGTTCATGTGTTTACCTCATAAGGGAATACCCTTACAACCACAAGGGGGCAAGCGTGACTTGCTAGGCTGTAAATTATACAGGACCTTTATGTGATGTTTTGTGTGGTTGGCCGGCTTTACTGAGTAAATCGCCAAATGCTGTATTTGCACTATTTTCAGGTACCCCAACATATCCTGTGAACTCCTTACCTCGGACGTTGGACAGATCAATGACAGACTGGGAGAAGATGAAAGTTTGCTGATGAAACTTTATGGATTTTTGCAAAGCGAATCTCCTCTCAACCCTTTACTGGCCAGCTTCTTCAGCAAGGTCCTTAGCATCCTCATCGGCAGGAAACCAGAACAGGTGAGATCAATACAGACCGCTAGTCATAATCACTGTGATTTTGAAGAGTTTATGACATGCTGCCGCGTCTTGTTAAAGCTCTAGGAGAAGTGTCTTCTAAACAAACTGTAACTGTCTTGTAGATTGTGGAGTTTCTGCGGAAGAGGGAAGACTTTGTGGACTTAATGATTAAACACATAGGGACCTCCGCAATCATGGACTTGCTGCTCAGAATGCTGACCTGCATTGAACCACAGCAGCTCAGACAAGATGTCTTAAATGTGAGTGTTTGAGTTTTCTTAGTTTGAAGTTTCTGTCCATTTTCTTAGTGATCAATCATCATCAACCTGTAACTTATTCACCCACAGTGGCTGAACGAGGAGAAGGTGATCCAGAGGCTTGTTGATATGGTCCAGCCTTCTCAGGATGAGGATGTAAGTTACATTTCATTAACTGTTTGTTTGGAGTACTGTTTCTTCAGACAGTGTCTTGACAAGTCTCTCTCTCTCCTCACATAGAGGCATTCCAACGCTTCCCAGTCTCTGTGTGAAATCATCCGCCTCAGCAGAGATCAGATGTTCCAAGTTCAGGGCTGCTCTGAACCCGACCCCTTACTGGCCACACTGGAAAAGTAAGTCAACAACCTGTGCTTGATTCTTTCAGCGAAGAATACTTGTTGCTATCATGATATTCAATGTATTACTTTATTGTCCTGGCAAAAGCATTATCTTTTATCCCCCTTCCCTTTCTCAGACAAGAGACTGTGGAGCAGTTGCTATCCAACATCTTTGACAAAGAGAAAAATGACTCTGCCATAGTCAGTGTAATTCAGATTCTCCTGACTCTCTTTGAGACACGAAGACCAGCGTAAGTTCACAATGTCCCGTTTTGGGTTTAATGTTGGTTTGGTTGTGTGGTATAGGGTTATAAGATACTAGTAGTGTTGAGTTGTTAGGCTTGTCTGATATGCTGCTCTTTCTTCAAGTCCTTGTTATTTATGCATGTTCATGAATGTTGCATTTTACCTAATGAAACCCATAGCAGGTGGTAACTGTAACAAAAGGCCTACAAGTTTTAAGAGATGACATATTACCCCAGGAAACCCATTGCGGGTGATAACTGAAAGGCTATACTACCCCTGGAGAGCCATTAAGGGCAGTTACTATAGAAACAAGGTAGCTTTATTCATGTCAGGGGAATTTAACGAGAAGTGTCAGCCTATTTGCGACGCACCTCCTTATTGCATTTTAATTTTGTATGAAAGTATGTATTCTTATTTTAAATACATGTAGTTCTGTCCTTGTGATGTACTTGTCTATTAATGTGTTTTATGTGGACCCCAGGAAGAATTTTTTTTTTACTAAATACTTACTGTCATGTATAGGTTCGAGGGCCATTTGGAGATCTGTCCCCCTGGTATGAGCCACCCATCCTTCTCAGTCAATCAGAGCATTCTGGAGGCTGTCAGACCCAGGCTCAAAGACTTCCATCAACTGCTGCTGGAACCCCCAAAGGTAATACTTTACATACCTATATAATTTACTTACACACACTAAACAGTGCACACATTTCTTAGCTTAGTAAGCTCATTAGAGTAGGTCGTTCTCTTTGCTATCCACTTGAGCGAAATATAACTAACAAAAATATTTTCAATAAATTATTACTACATGTATCTTTTAGATCTTTTTTGTGATCCTCCTACCTCAATCTCGGTTCAACTTTGAGTCATATTTATCTTCAGTGGGTGGTCCTTCCTCTAGTTTACTCTACAAGTGCACTCCAATGGCGGTTTTATTTGCATTACCAAGTTAAATGAATCTAGTCTGAATGAGAGCCTGATTTTTCCTTTCATCCCCATATTTGCAGAAGAATATCATGAAAACCACGTGGGGTGTGCTGGACCCCCCAGTGGGCAACACCCGGCTGAGCGTGGTCCGTCTTGTGGCCAGCCTCCTGCAGACCAACACTCATATCATCAACATGGAGCTGATCAACCTCAACACTCTAGGAGTCATACTCGTAAGTTGCCTGTCTTTTTGTCTGTGCGATTTCTACTTGTTTTTGGGTACTAGTTGTTCCTACCAAAACCAGCACCAGGATCTAGACTTACTGTTGTGCACAGGGTTTTCACTTTCATTTATGACATTGGTTCCCTTACTACCCCCTTCTCATAACCAAGGTCAACAGAAATGATGCACACTTCAACAACTTGATTTGGGTCATTTTTTATTTAATTAATGGCCATTTCTTTCTCTCTCCATTTATTCTCAGGACATGTACTTCAAGTATATATGGAATAACTTCCTGCATATACAAGTTGAAATCTGCACTGCGATGATCCTAGCAATGCCCCCAGCCCAAAGTGAAAACCCCGAAATCAACAGAGATCAGGACCAAGAGCCTGTCAGAGAAAGCCACCTCATCAAACACGTGAGGCTTTATCACCCTTTTCTTTACATCTATTATGGCATTCATGTCGGACAAGTCAATTAACTACTTTTTTGCTCTGTTTTAGCTGTTTCAGAAGTGCCAGTTTATACAGAGAATTCTTGATGCATGGAGCTCCAATGAGAAGGAGCAGTAAGTACGGTTTTATGTTTATTTTATTTTTTATTACACTATGAATTTAGACCATAATGCTGCTGTTACTAGACCACTGGACTTTGCAGATTTGTGTCTAAATCTCTTGTGAGCTGTTTGGTTTTTACCCTTAATAAGGCTCAATGTAGTTTAAGAAATGTCACCACAATGTTCCTGTAGGCTTCAATAAGTGTGTTTTTCCTGTTGCAGGGGTGAGGGTGGACGTAGACGGGGCTACATGGGCCACTTGACCAGAATAGCCAACTCAATAGTGCACAACAGCGATAAGGGCCCCAATGGTGAGAAGATACAGCAGCTCATCTCAGGTGAGTGTGCTTTGACATCTCCCATCAGAAATTAGGTTGGAGCTCCTAAAATGAATTCCTGTATTGAGGTGGAATAGACTAATCTTGTGTTATTTCAGAGCTCACAGAGGACGACAAAGAGAGATGGGAGGCCTTCACTTCTGGTCAGCTAGCTGACACAAACAAAAGAAACACTGTAGACCTAGTAAGTCTGATCCAGACACCTGTTACTCAGTGCCAAAATATGTTTGCAAAGTACACAGTATTTACACTGGAAGGTGAGGTGCCAGTAGTGCCAATGCTGTTTGAAGGAGGTCTAATGGTTGTCCTCTTAGTAATAAGGTTGTTTGCATTGTGCCTTAGGTGAACACACACCATATTCACTCATCCAGTGACGATGAGGTAGACTTCAAGGACAGCGGATTCCAACAGGATTCCTCTCTACAACAGGTAAGTCTGTAACTGGATGAGACTATAGAAACACTGCTAAATCTGCATATTTGTAGTCTTTGTAATTGTTTATAACATTATTATACTGGACTTATGTCTTGTAGTGGTACTGAGATATATATATATATATAATTTTTAAATTAACATTAAACATGTATCTTTCAAATGTAAGTATGCATGTGCTCTTAATCTTAACTATTAACCTATAGCTACAGTATTAGCCAATTGTTTTGAATTTAAGCCTTTTGTAGTGCCAAGACTATATCATTATCGTTGGTCCTGGGTTTGCCAGGCCTTTTCTGATTATCAGATGCAACAAATGACGTCCAATTTTATTGAGCAGTTTGGCTTCAATGACGAAGAGTTTGCCGATCAGGATGATGTCGTGGAGTGAGTACTGATCCTGCATGATGATTTGTTCATAACCTAGTATTACATTTTTTATTTTTTTATTATTAAGGGTTTGGGGTGACTAGACTAGTGCTCTGTTAATATATTATCTGTTTAACTTAACAATGGACTCTGTGAACCAGTTTCTTTCTCTGTACAAGGTTTAGGTTACATGTTTGCAATTTAATATCTACATATGAAAATAATATGCCACTGTTTGTTTGGAAAGTGATATCTCTAGTGTGGAGAAATAAAGCTGTAGGTAAATTGGATGCCAGTCTGAATTCTGCAACCCATGAGTCAAATTTCCTTATGATTACATTTAACTAGCTGTTATTATACAGGTCTACCATTAAATTGGATACATGACCGTGTAAAGTTCAAAATGCTTGTCACTGTCAATAAAGACTGGTGGTTTGCTTGGACCAGAGTCCAGACAGTAAAGTTGTAATTGCAAAATTCCGTTTAGTTTGGAGTAAGTAGCACTCTTCTGCCCTCCTCTGTGCCACTGCTCTCTGGGTCTTGTTGTTATTTGGGTATTCTGCTGGGGTTTGGCTTCCTGTGGAGAATGACCAACTGGGAATGGCTGGTGGGGTTTCTGCATAAAGCTGTTTTTAATGTGAGTTAGTGTGCCATAATTGTCCTTCTACCTGTTACTGGGCCTCTGTAGGGAGGAGTCCTGAAGCCATTTTGTGAAGTCATTGTCTCACTAATATAACTGAACAACTCTTTTCTTTTAACATTTCAGTATTCCCTTTGATAGAATATCAGACATCAATTTTTCCTTGAATACAAATGAAAGTGTAAGTATTTTAATGTAATGGATTATCCACTTATATAGAAATGATTGCCATATTGTCCTTTCCAACTGTGCTCTAGGCTAGATGTAGTCAATCGTAGTAGAAATAAAACTGCTACACTAACTCCCAAAACATTGAAGTTCACCATTTTTATAATGCTGTACATACAATTAGCCATTGCTGATGTCTGAAATTCCATTACCTTATGAATATGATGGTGCACGTACTTATTTTCTTTTCCATGTACAGTAAATGATGAAGTGGAAGCATCGCAGCATATCTTTTCGTGTATCTTGTTGTGCTTTACCCTTGTACTGGTGTTGTCTTTCAGGCAAATATAGCTCTGTTTGAGGCCTGCTGTAAGGAGAAGATCCAGCAGTTTGAAGATGCAGGCTCTGATGAGGAGGACATCTGGGATGAGAAAGATGTCACGTTCGCACCAGAAGCTCAGAGATGTCCTCGGTACGGCAGTGCCTTTTGGCAGATATTTAAATTAAATATCTAAAATGACTAACATCATACCTTCTGAGGCTTATTCAAAGCACCTGCTGGGTTGGGTGATTGATTAGTTTGAATGACTTCTGTCCATTTTGTGACTCGAACCATTAGGAGCTCTGGCAGTACAGATAGTGAGGAGAGCACAGACTCTGAGGAGGAGGATGTGAAACGTGATCCCTTTGAGCCCAACAACGCCAGCTCTGATGACAGAATGGAGGTAGACACGGGTGAGGGTGAGTGATTGTCCCGGACTGACACGCTGGGTTTGGGTTGGTGCTTAGTTAGGTAGGTCTGTCTGGTGTGATCTTCTCAAGAAAGTGCTGCATGATATGTCTTGGCTGGCATTTTTTTTGACGGCTGCCCTGTTGTTTCAGGGCCTGTGTGGACAGCTAACTTTGACGACATACCCATGGACACTGGGAGTTGTACGTCGATGGGAGCACCTGCCACCACCACTGCCACAGCCTCCCCCTCCTCCCCTGCGGTCCTACCAGAGTCTGCTGGCTGGAGCTCCCCCAATGCCTCCCCTGACACAGCCACGGGCTGGGCAGACTTCTCTAACAACTTCTCACCAGTCAGGTAAGGGTTCATCCCACCAGCCTCAGTCCCAAGACCTTAGGTGGCACTATTGCCACACACATTTCCATATTATTATCCTCCCATGTACATCCTATATACAAATGTATGTGGACACCCCTTCAAATGAGTGGATTTGGCTATTTCAGCCACACCCGTTGCTGACAGGTGTATAAAATCGAGCACACGGCCATGCAATCTCCATAGACAAACATTGACAGTAGAATGGCCTTACTCGAGCTCAGTGACTTTCAACGTGGCACCGTCATAAGATGCCACCTTTCCAACAAGTCAGTTTGTCAAATGTCTGCCTTGCTAGAGCTGCCCCGGGCAGCTGTAAGTGCTGTTATTGTGAAGTTGAAACGTCTAGGAGTAACAACGGCTCAGCCGCGAAGTGGTAAGCTCACAGAATGGGACCGCCAAGTGCTGTAGCGCGTATAAATCGTCTGTCCTTGGTTGCAACACTTACTACAGAGTTCCAAACTGCCTCTGGAAGCAACGTCAGCACAATAATTGTTTGTCTGGAGCTTCATGAGCAGCCGCACACAAGCCTAAGATCACCATGTGCAATGCAAAGCGTCGGCTGGACTCTGGAGCAGTGGAAATGCGTTCTCCGAATGCATAGTGCCAACTGTAAAGTTTGGTGGAGGAGGAATAAGGGTCTGGGGCTGTTTTTCATGGTTCGTCCTAGGCCTTTTAGTTCCAGTGAAGGGAAATCTTAACGCTACAGCATACAATGACATTCTAGACAATTCTGTGCTTCTAACTTTGGCAACAGTTTGGGGAAGGCCCTTTCCTGTTTCAGCATGACAAGGTCCCCGTGCACAAAGTGAGATCCATACAGAAATGGTTTGTCAAGATCGGTGTAGAAGAACTTGACTAGCCTGCACAGAGCCCTGAACTCAACCCCATCGAACACCTTTGGGATGAATTGGAACGCCAACTGCGAGCCAGGCCTAATCGCACAACATCAGTGCCTGACCTCGCTAATGCTCTTGTGGCTGAATGGAAGCAAGTCCCTGCAGCAATGTTCCAGCATCTAGTGGAAAGCCTTCCCAGAAGAGTGGAGGCTGTTATAGCAGCAAAGAGGGGACCAACTCCATATTAATGCCCATTTTGGAATGAGATGTTCGACGAGCAGGTGTTAACATACTTTTGGTTGTGTAGTTTGAATAAGGATGGGGGTGACTGGTGTTCTGTTTATTCCCTTGCCTTCCCATGCATCTTTATATTCTTCCCATGCATCTTTACCTTTGATCTTCCAGACCCAAAATTCATTTGAGGAGCAATTCCCCAGTAGCGATGGAGACCTGCATAGGGACAGGGGACCCCTTGGGTGTCAACGCACCAATGCAGCCTGAAGGTGAGCTTTGCCACAGTGCCATACAGGAATACGCGTTTTACTTCTTACTCATTGATCACTGTGTAATGCTATCCCTGTGTGATGTCCCAGTTTCTGACCTGTGGCCAAGGGACGAGGCAGCCCAGCTACCCAGCTCCCCTGGAAGGAAAGCCGGAGGCTCGGACGCAGAGGAGACTGTCACCACTGAGACGGTCACCAACGGCTCCATGAAGGAGACAGTTAGCCTTACTGTAGATGCCAAAACTGAAACTGCTGTTTTCAAGAGGTAAGGATTCTGACAACACACCATACCCCTTTCCTCCTGTCACCAATCCTTCCCTTAAAACACAGCCATTCACCTCACAGTGCATGTGGAATTGACTGCTGTGCCTTGCCAAGTTTTCCCCCTACACTGAGTGAGTTCCAGCCAGGCAAGGCAGGGACACTCCAGTAGACTTGTAAAAATGTCTATGTACCATTTTTGTATCACCAAATCTGCCGAACCTACATTGCTGTCTGTCTGTTGTTTGAGAAACTGTCCTTCACTTTAACTGCAACACTTACAACATGAGCTTCCTCTTTCTCTCTGGTGTGCGTGTGGCTTCAGAGTGTTGAAATCTTATCGGTATGTACAGCCAATCGGGGGGCAGATGTCTGCCGTGTCTTGTTTTCATGTCAGCCGCTGAGTTTATTTTATTATTAATTATTTTGCCATCTCCATTTGCATGTCTATCTCAGATGTATTGATTTGGTCGTCGCTCGTCGTCAATGATTTCATGAAATGGCCGCCCAGGCTTTCTGAATTGGCCTTTTTCTCTTTCTGTTGTTCAGTTCTGGGTGTGGATTGGCGAAAGCAGTCTTCATTATGTATCCGCCCCCTCCCTGTGCTGGTATCTCATTGGCTTAAGTTCGCAGCACATGGCATTGTGAGGTGGCTGGAATAAACTGGAGAGATGAGTCCTAGACTAACAGTAGTCCTGTTCTCATGCAAAACTCAGCTCTACTTGAAATGAGCTTCATTTTAAAAATTGCATCTGGAAATCAAAGACCTTCAAAATGCCATCTAGGTAGTTGTTTTTAGTGAATGCCCTTAACTTTACCAGGTCATCATGAATTTGTTCTAAATCGACTTGACTGGTTAAATTAATTAAATAAATAGCCTACCTTACATAACTGCCTCGTCAATTATTTAAATAACATTGGCTGTAGGACCCAAATACATAATGTCCTGGTGCGTGTTAGTTTTGTATAGTAATTATGGTGAGGTAATTGTTGTGGTTTAATGACAAAAAGCAAGACTGATGGCTGACATGAGTTTGATCCATTCAGTGAGTTTCTAAAACGGTCATAATCACCCCATGCTCTGCTCCTCAAAACAAGCTCACTCTTAAAGAGGCAAACTCCTGTAAGTGGATGGTCAGAGAATTTGCTGCTTCTTTCCATTTAGTGTACATTTTGATCCTTTCATCCATTTTTAACCGCCAACCACCTTTCAACACATTTGTTTACCCCTATGGCTTTGTGGTCTTTCTGTCTCATTCTGCATGCATCAGTCTTTTCCGGGCTGTGTCTTAACGGTGGGGGGGTTTCTGTATATTTGGAAATGGCAAGAGCTCTGTAAATGTGTTCCTTTCCTCTGCAGTGAGGATGAGAAGTTTACCTCAGAGGACACATCTGTTAAGTACACTGTGGGGGAGAGTGGAACACCAGAGAAGGGTGTCTCTGCATCAGTCCAGCCTGCCAGCAACTGTCTGAAACCAAGGTCTGGCTCCATGACTCATACTTTACATTACATTTTAGTCATTTAGCAGATGCTCTTATCCATAGCGACTTACAGGAGCAATTAGGGTTAAGTGCCTTGCTCAAGGGCACATTGACAGATTTTTCACCTAGTCGGCTCGGGGATTAGAACCAGCGACCTTTCGATTACTGGCACAACGCTTTTAACCACTAAGCTACCTGCTGCCCCACCTTCACTTGAACTGTCTAGTACAAGTGAGCTGTTTACAGACATGCTGTTGTACCTGTTCTAATTGTCCACCAGCAACTCATGAGTTCCTCTAATTTATTCCCTTTCAGCAGTGCAAAACATTCAGAAACAGATAAATCAAAAGTCCCCAGTGATGCTGTTAATGGTCCCCTAGAAGAAGGAACAGCAATGGACAAAGCCAAGTAAGTGTCAGCTAGAATCAAAGATTGGCTTTCCACAGTCTGGCATGTCTTATCACTAGTGAAGTGTGAAGTCATCCAGTGTGTTACATTGTGGCCTCTCTTTCTGCACCACTACAGAACACAGCAGAGCGTGGTCGCACCAGAGGCAGCTGTGAATGGCCCGATGTGATATGTGGTTCCTGCCAGCCTGTTCCTGCAACACACAGCTCTCTGCCTGGGTCACCAGTAGAGGGCAGTGCAAGCCCAGTGTCAGAGCTGCTGCTGCTGCACTAACTTCACCAGATCAGGACCAGCAATATTCATAATAGGCTATTGCAGACAGTTGTACAGAAAGTTGGAACTGAATGAAGAGAGAAACATACTGTAATGGAAACAGATTTTTTTTTTTTTGCATTCGTTTATATACTATTGTTCTTATGAGGTTGATCTGTCTGATATCTTGCCACTCAAAGTTAAATAATGTTGATATAGTTAAAATGATTGTATGAATAAAATATTTTATAAAAAGAAAATGTATACAGAAACAAGATTAATAACTGAAATATACCAATTGGAACACTTAGTGTGACCAAAATAAGCTGTTTTTGATAGGGTTTCCTCCTGCACAAAATGTAATTTCCAACTAAATGCCATAGCTACCATGACATGTTAATCGGAAACCAATGTTGGTCTGTTTATCAGTACACTTGTTAGTAGGGACTCAATGATTTTAAATAATCAAAAAGTTTATTTTGCCACAGGTATTATTTGTAAATGTTTCTTGTATTCTATCCTTTCAACATGAGCAAGATTTGAAAACCTTTGGTATGGTTTTTAACTTAATTTATTATTAAGGTAGATTATGTTACTAAGAGCCATACACATGGTGTATGCATTCTGCAGATTCTGTTGCAAGACATTAATTACAATGAAACATTTCTTAAACAGAACGGGGAGGGACCTACCTGAATTTGTCCAATAGAAACTTGTTTTAATCTGTTTGCTTCAGTTTGGTTCTTAAAAGAAAACAGATTCCGTAATTAATACACCCATGTTCTCTCCCCCTTGACAACATTAAACTGTACAAACCCCAAGGTGAATAACTGTAGAAGATGGTTTCCAGTTGCATGTAGCTACTGAGTGTTAAAACTGTTTGAAGGCTCGTGGTAAATGGGTCCCATTTTAAAACTTTTCCGTATCAAGTCAACCTTTCTACCTGCAGAATGATGGGGATGTAATGAATATTCTTGGTATTGTTTCAATCATGCATCAACCATTGATTCTTTTTTTTTTTTTAATAAAAAGGTATCTGTGCCAGCAATGGGAAGGGGATAAACTATTTATATAAGCACTTTTCTACCCTATTTTCTCAGATACTACATTTCACCTTGTATTGTGTTAATCTCAAAATAATTACTCGTAACATGACATTGACTCAGGGCACTGTTTGATTAATCTCTCCTGATGTTTTACTGTAATTACTACTTGTGACTCCTGTCTCAACTTGCTTCCAAGGTTATTCAATGGTAAATTCTCTAAGAGTATTGCTCAAATTCTGCGTACTGTCCTGCCTCCTTTTGAAATAGGTCAGAGTTGAATATGAATGTTAATATAATATTTAGTTAATTACATTTACTTAAACTAACTGTTCTCAGCAGCCCTGAGCTATCACGCAGCAGGTAGCTTAGTGGTTGAAGCATTTGGCTAGTAACCGAAAGGTCGCTGGTTCGAATACCCGAGCCGACAAGGTGGAGAAATCTGTCGATATGCACTTAACCCTAATTAGCTTCAGGGGCGCAGTACTACTATGGCTGACCATAAAACACATTTCACATCCGGTGTATGTGACTAAACAAACATGTCTAGGTGCTGCAGGAAGAGGAGGAGAGTCTGTCAATGAATTTACAATACTTGTAAAGCTAAATAAATCGGCTATACACTTGAAACACTGCTCAAGGGCTAGGTCATGTTAGTTTTTATTTTGACGATCTTACAAAGACGTGTGTAATTCTAGGTTCAGAAGAAAGCAGGGACACTCCACATAATCAACCTAGGAACACTGTCCAATCTCAGAAGCTCTGACATGGTCACCTTAACCCAAATGCACAATCAACAGTTTGGTTGTGTTTTCTGTAACCAGTACCTATACCAAGTTGAGTAAAACATAAAATATGTTAACACTTTCTCTAACTGAATGAAGAGGTAAAAACACAGAACGTTCTATAGCAACTTTTCTGAGGATGTTGACCTTTTTCTTGTCATGCGATTATGCTGCACTGACAGTTTTCAGCAGGTGACACTATTTCCCAGTGACTACAGTTTCCCAGTGATAGGGCCCAGTTTTCCAAAAGCATTTTAAGGCTAAGTTAATCGTTACAACCTTCGTAGGAGCATCGTTAAATCTCCGAGCTGTTTCCCAAAGCCATCGCTACTAAAGTTGCACTTGAAAACGCCCATTATTTACCTACTGCCTCAGACCTCAGAACAGTGAAGTGCGTTGTTAGATGCGTTTTTTCCCTACCGAGTCACTTTATACACTGAAGATCTCCGCTAAACATAGAATCAAGATGTTTATCTGTCTCTGTGACTGTCGATAACTTAACAACAAAGTTGACTACAAATACAAAGTTGCCAGTGTCTGCAATTGTTATAAACGTGAAGGACAGAAATAAGCTTAAAATGAAAACCAAGATGACAGTACCATGGGCGTGGTTGAGCAAAAACAAAAAATATATACATTAGCCCCTCCTCCACACTCGCTATGTAACGCAACCATCAGTAGAGTGGAAAAATGTGATGGAAACCCATTTAACTTGTTTCGGTACATGGGAATTTAACTGCAAAATGTATTTTATGTGCACTAAATCATTACGAACAGCCTTTTATCTGCATCAAGGTGTGCAATGATGTGCCAAAGCTTGATTTAGTGCATTATTATAGGGTAAGCATTGGAATAAGCCGCCTCATTATTTGCAGCCAGTAACCAGGTTTCCATCCAACCTTTAATGCAAGTAAAGTACACCACGTGGCCAAAAGTATGTGGACGCCCTTTCAAATTAGTGGATGCGACTATTTCAACCACACCTGTTGCTGAAAGGTGTATAAAATCGAGCACACCGCCATGCAATCTCCATAGACAAACATTGGCAGTAGAATGGCCCGTACTTGAGAGCTCAGTGACTTTCAACATGGCACCGTCATAGGATGCCACCTTTCCAACAAGTCAGTTCGTCAAATTTCTGCCCTGCTAGAGCTGCCCCGGTCAACTGTAAGTGCTGTTATTGTGAAGTGGAAACATCCAGGAGTAACAACGGCTGGTGAAGTGGTAGGCCACGAGTTCCAAACTGCCTCTGGAAGCAATGTCAGCACGAGAACTGTTCGTCGGGAAGTTCATTAAATGGGTTTCCATGGTCGAGCAGCCACACACAAGCCTTAGATCAACATGCGCAATGCCAAGCGTCGGTTGCAGTGGTGTAAAGCTCGCCACCATTGGACTCTGGAGTGATGAATCACGCTTCACCATCTGGCAATCCGACAGAATAATATGGGTTTGGCAGATGCCAGGAGAACGCTACCTGCCCCAATGCATAGTGCCAACTGTAAAGTTTGGTGGAGGAGGAATAATGGTCTGGGGCTGTTTTTCATGGTTTGGACTAGGCCTCTTAGTTCCAGTGATGGGAAATCTTAACGCTACAGCATACAATTACATTCTAGACGATTCTGTACTTCCAACTTTGTGGCAAAAGTTTGGGGAAGGCCCTTTCCTGTTTCAGCATGACAATGCCCCCGTGCACAAAGCGAGGTACATACAGAAATGGTTTGTCGAGATCGGTGTGGAAGAACTTGACTGGCCTGCACAGAGCCCTTACCTCAACCCCATCGAACACCTTTGGTATGAATTGGAACGCCAACTGCGAGCCAGTCCTAATTGCCTAACATCAGTGCCCGACTTCACTAATGCTCTTGTGGCAGAATGGAAGCAAGTCCCCGCAGCAATGTTCCAATATCTAGTGGAAAGCCTTCCCAGAAGAGTGGAGGCTGTTATAGCAGCAAAGGGGGGACCAACTCCATATTAATGCCCATGATTTTGGAATGAGATGTTCGACAAGCAGGAGTCGGATAAAAAATGTCATGACAGGCCTGATGGAAACAGAACATATTTCCGTAAACGTTCCAAATGTCGGCAAGACATGGCGGGATCACCCCAAGGCATGCACGTTTTGCTTTTTGCCCTAACACTGCACAGCTGATTTAAATAATTAACAGATAATTAAGCTTTGATCATTTGAATCAGCTGTGTAGTGCTAGGGCAAAAACCACAATGTGAAGCCCTTGGGATCCCCAGGACCGAGTTTGGAAAATACTGCCTTAACCGTTTTAAATTTCAACTTCATTGGGGTGATGTCAGAGTTGGGTTGTCCCAAGCATCCCACTTAGCAAAAAAACAGAAAACCATGGCAGATAAGGTTTTCCTAACAAGTGCGTCTCCATGGCGGTGTTCGCTTGAGCAATCTCACTGGAATAAAGAACTCCTCCATCCCTGTCATTTTTGAAGGAGACTGTGGTAATACCTCAAAACTCAAAATAGGACTACTTAATGTTAGACCCCTCACTTCCAAGGCAGTCATAGTCAATCAACTAATCACTGATCATAAACTTGATGTGATTGGCCTGACTGAAACATGGCTTAAGCCTGATGAATTTACTGAGTTAAATGAGGCCTCTCCTCCTGGTTACACTAGTGACCATATCCCCCTTGCATCCCGCAAAGACGGAGGTGTTGCTAACATCTTTGACAGCAAATGGCAGTGTATGAGAAAAAAAAAAAAAAAAAAAAAAAAATTTTTTTAATAACTATTGTTTACAGGCCTCCTGGGCCGTATACAACGTTCCTCACTGAGTTCCCTGAATTCCTATCGAACCTTATAGTCACATTTTTGGTGAAGAAGTCCACAGACCCCCTCCAAAAGGATTTTGTAGCCATCATCGACTCAGTGGGTTTTATTCCAACATGTCTCGGGGCCTACGCATTGCAACAATCATACCCTGGATCTAGTTTTGTCCCGTGGAATAGATATTGTGGATCTAAATGTTTTTCCTCATAATTCTGGACTATCGGACCACCATCTTATTACATTTGCAAACGCAACAAAGACTCCCTCCAACTACCCAAGGACGTTGGAGTAA